TGCTCAGTGATGACAAGTCTAGATTTCTTTCTAGAGAAGGATTTCTTACTTACAATTGTATGTGCCTAGTGGCAAGTACAGGAAGAAAAACACTTTTTCTGACTTGCGATAAAACCAATGGGTCGTTGCTTAAAGCATCAAAACAGGAGTTCCGTCGTATAGCGTAATGTACATATGGAGGGATAGGCTGTATGAACACGCTCAAACAAAAGTTATCCTTGGACTCAGAAACAAGACATTTTGCTTAACCAACACAATAACGCCTTGTATTTACAGAATATGTTCTTAAGATGCTTAATATGCCTTAGCAATATGTTACAACCCCTTGTATGTAGTCATGATCAGGATTATCATTAATATTAAACATTGTAGAAATAGCCATTGAGCATTTAGCATATAGATACCGTACTACATACTTGACACTCAATATATGACCTCATTTAGTCTGCACATTAACACTGTAGGACAGGTATTACCATCTCCATTCTGCAGGCTAGGAAACTGGCTCTTGAAGGATACATGACTTTCTATGACCCTAGAGCTAGTAAGCGGCAGAGCTAACTCAAAAATCCTCACATTTTCCAAACCACATTGGTTAGAAAGACGGCAGACCAATTCCACATGGATTGTGTAGAAATTCAGCATTTCAGGAAATATATTTACTAAATCATATGAGTCATCAGAACAAAGCCAGAAAATAACAAAGTTACTACCACTCTATAATCAGATACCAGTTAGAAATAATGGGATAAGGATAAATTCCAAACTAGAGCAAGAAAAACTTCACCAGAAAGGAAAATTTCAACCACACCGTTAAACCACCTTTCAGGTTATTTCTACCATGCTAAGACGTTCTGCTAATTACACAGGTTATTTTTAAAGGCTTAATAAATTGGGGGTAGTATATTATTGTTTACTTTTTGGGGAACCTGCTCTGTATTAACTCCAATACTACTGTTCTGAAGGGAACTGTCAATCATGGTAGCCCTCCTCTCTGGCTGCAGGCTTAGGTGTGTGAACACTGAGCAAACCAGGGCACCCCACGCCTCTGGCAAGTGTGGCTGACCCAAAGATAGACATGACTCATCTGGAGCTCTTCCTTGGGATTTTTCTAGATGGTGGAGAGGGCTCTCTCCTCCTAGGATGTGAGAATGTAAACCATGGCTGTGACCAATGGCCATGGGTCTACCCTTAAAGAAAGAGCCTGGCTTGGAAATTAGGCTAAAGCAGAGGACAGTAGGAGTGGGAGGGAGATGAAAGGGGGAGAGAGAGTAAGAGAGTGAGAATGAGAGAGAGAGAGAGAGAAGAGGAAGGAGTAGGAGGAGAGAGGACATTTGAAAAGACAGATAGTGGGAGAAGGAGGTACAGACAGACCTGAGTAACCCCCAATGGACTATGCTTTGAATTTCTGCATTCAGGCAGAAATCCACAGGCAAGTTCCATCCCTGCCCTCCTGTCGTTTGACTGTCTAAACAAATAAAATCTCTCTTTTTGCTTCGAGTATTTGGAATGGGGTTTTTATTACCTACAATGAGAAACTTACGTAAGAAAACACGTTAACTACTTTACTAGGCTAAGTTCTTATTTCCATGTCCGTGTCAAATACAATGATGTAACAAGTCAAATGGGCAAATATTTGCAGAGATGCTAAGAGGGGAAAGGCACAGTGGTTTAGTGACAGTGAGAACTATACTAGAAATGAAGACATCATGGGGGCCGGCCTGGTGGCATAGTGGTTAAGTTCGCATGCTCTGCTTCAGCCGCCCAGGTTTGTGGGTTTGGACCCTTGGCACGGACCTACACACTGCTCATCAAGCCATGCTGTGGCGGCATCCCACACACAAAATAGAGGAAGATTGGCACAGATGTTAGCTCAGGGCGAATTTTCCTCACCAAAAAAAAAAAAAAAAGGGGGGGTGGGGTGGGGGAAATGACGACACAACACATCTCATTGGGAAATAAGAGTAAAATGCAAACATCAAAAAAAATTATTGCAGTGGCCGGCCCCATGGCGTAGCAGTTAAGTGCACATGCTCCGCTACTGGTGGCCGGGGTTTGGATCCCAGGCGTGCACAGACGCACCGCTTGTCAGGTCATGCTGTGGCGGCATCCCATATAAAGTGGAGGAAGATGGGCACGGATGTTAGCCCAGGGCCAGTCTTCCTCAGCAAAAAGAGGAGGATTGGCAGATGTTAGCTCAGGGCCGATCTTCCTCACAAAACAAACAAACAAAAAGTTATGGCATAAAATAAAAACAGACATATCATTAGGCAGTATAGGATTAACTACTAAACAAAATATGCAGATAATAAACATTATAGGAATACAGAGGAGGGAACAACCGGTGGGGGAACAGCATCCTATTTTAAGCATCTGTAGTGAGACTTGAGTTTCTGCTCACACTGACATGGACTGGACCAGAGGTTTTCCACCCTTAACTGACCACACCCCTGCTTCCTATCGATGCTGGAGGGCACTCCACGCATTCCTGAAATACCCTTCCATCTAACCACAGAAAATACGACATAAAGCTTACACTAAGATGAGGCTGGGTGTGCATTGCAAGTCACGCAGGGCCCTGCTCTCAGAAGGGCTCTGCGCTTGGTTTAACAATTTGTTGTCTCAAAAGTGTTAATGATTTTTGAACCAGAGGCCCCACATTTTCATTGTGCACTGTTTCCTGGAAATTGTGTAGCTAGCCCTGCACTAAAGAAAGAGACAAAGTTTTGCTGCAAACAATTCGGAGCAACGGTCTTGCTTTTCAAAGCAGCCTATCTGCCAAGAGACGTAATCTATTTCGGAAGTCAGAGGGCAAAGACGCACTCTCCCACCTGCCATGGGTTCCTCCTTAGCCCTCTATTAAAAGCAAATGATTGAGAGAAACGAGAAGTCTGCAGTGAAGAGCACTTGTAGCCTGCCAGTCCACAACACTGCCAAAAGGAAAGTCAAGTCACCAAGTGTGAGTCAAAAAGCCCACAGTATGTTTCCAGGTCAGGACCAGCACAGGATACAGTCTGAAAAAAGGAGCTGGTTGATTTTAGGAGAAACTTAGAGAGGGAAGAAAAGCTAGTTCTGGTCGTCTCAAACGCATAAAATATCATAAAATAGTGGATTGTTATTAACAGTGTTACCGGGAAACACAGCTCTATCTCATGGGGCACAGGCTGCATGGGGGCTGGGAGTGTGATGGGGGAGCCGGACCTCTGACTGAGTCTCCACACTTCCTCCAAGACAGCATCTCGCCAGCTCAGGTACCGGCGTGTGTTGTCAAGGAGGGCTACGATGACAGTGTCCACCTGTGCTCTAGTCCCAGGACCTGCAGAGGCACCACCGCTGGACCAGGCCAGCCTGCTGTGGCGATTCACCTGCTACTTGATGTCCTATCAGAGCAGCTCCTCCAAAACGACAGCTTCATCAGTCCCGTTGTGCTGATGCCTAAAGCTCACCATTTCCACTCCCATTTAGCGCTCTAATCCCAGCTATCATGCAATGACTGCGCCAGGGGAAATGCTAACCTTCCAGTTTGGGACTTAGTGTGTCTGACTTTCGGGTCCTTTTCCAGGGGAACAGGTTTAGAGTGGAGATGAAAAGAGGCCTGTGGGGAACCAGTGAGGGACACGAAGGGAAGTTGGATGTGACGTGCAAGGTAAAAAGACTTTCCTCGTTACAGTTTTCCAGACTAAGCAAGTCTTGCCCGGCAAAATATTGATAAAATATAGCTAAGTCTGAAGGACATGAACAATGATTCAAATGTGCTTCTTTTTCAGCAATTACCTCTTCTATCTCACCTGCATGGATTTTGACTAAAATCGTATCTTTTACGTTAACCCCCAAGGATGCGTGCTGAAGTAGAGTAACCTCATTCTCTTTAGGGTGGATGTTTAAAGAGTTTTCCTTCTGTTCAAACTGCGGTCGTGTTCCATCTAATATTCACTGAGGCATAGTTTCTTCTATGATAAAGCTTTGGAATCGAAGTAATTAATTATATGCGTTAGCACAAATCTGGCATAGTCTACATGCTCTGTAATGTTAGCAATTAATTTCACCTGATTTAAGGACGTAGCAGAATCTATTTACAAAAGAAAACTAGGTGGATGATCGTGGCTTTGTACGTAAGCAAGACCAAAATGAAGACAATACGCAGAAAATTGGGGAATTTTGTGGCATGATGAACAAAATCCCTTAGGATGTACGTTTTCTAAAGATCTAAAGCCAAGTCACCGTTAGTGCGAGGATGCTGGAAAGTATACTAATTGGTTCAGTCTTAGGGTTTGGTTTACAGCGTGGATTATGTTTCCTTTTCATTCTCCCACTAGACCCAGCTATGTGGGGATGCTGTCCTGGGAGGGCTAGCTTTCTTCCTGAATTAACATTTAATACGCCTCTATGGAATTTCATAATCATAGTGACAGAGACTTTATTTCGTATACTTAAAAGGAGAAATTTCCCTTCATTCCTGAAAAGATTTCCTTTAGGGAACGTGATGTAATTCTACAAAAATCTCGAAAGGCATTTTAAAAAATATCGATCATCTGTTTCTTGGTGATATCTGGGAGAAATTTTGATACAAACAGTGGAATTTTGACAATATCCCACGAATTTAGCAAAAACAAAACAAAACAAAAACAATTCATCTTACCTTTATATACAGTCTTTGCTGTCGGTCTTTTGAGGTGAATGGGTTTATCATCTCAGCAGAGTTGATCCACTCCTCTTATGAGGTCTGCTTTTGTGTGCCTTCCCCATCACAGAAGTTGTTTTACCACACAGTGGTCCCAGCAAACCATCACCCCAGCCACTCTCTGCAGCATCACAGCCTCTATGCCGACTCTTCTTACTCAAACTCCAAATTTTGCCAAATCTCAGCACCCTCTTAGACTTGATACCCCAGGTTGAGGGCCATCTAATTTCTCATTCAGGCTATAAAAATCGGCAACCCCAGTGATGTCACACCTAATAAAACACCAGTTTTAAAATGCCATTGTGCAAATGAAAAAAACCTACCTCTCTTGTAGAATAAGTTTGTTCTCTTTCTTCCAAAAATCTTTGAAGTCGGAGCTGAATTCGTGCCAGATACTGAAGAAAACATTTGGGGACACCTCCTTCTCTCCAAGTTTTGGTTTCATGAAGAAATAGGCTGTAGTCTCCAAAAAGCTGTCAAAGTGCACACACACACAAGAACATAAAAGCCATGATTACTTTCCAATATGGGATATTCTTTCACCATCCAAATGCTGATTTCATTCATGCACGGTTATTATTACCAAGAGGACTCAAACTCTTTAGGCACCAACAGTAGTTTTCTTATGGTTTTGGATACAGATACTAGCAACTGACAAGAATCCTCCATATACTGATAACTATCCCTAGTCCAATTCTATTTTCAAAATTAATCACTAGGTGTCCAACATATTTCAGAAATGGACCTGTGGTCAAGTTGGGACATACTAGAAGCGGCGGGTCTATACTTTCTCTACACTCTAAACAAATAAAATATCAGCCATGTGTCTCAAAACTAATATGTATTCTATATGTATATTATATTGTTTATATACTATTTGGCTTCCTACATTGCTGGGGGAAAAAAAGCAAAAGTCCCAGGAGATGCCAACAAAGTCACCAGAGATCATGGCGATGTCACTGAGTGGATACCAATATGGCAGCCGGCACTGTGGCAGTAGACTGATAGTCAGTCTTCAGAAGATGCCACTCAGAGGCTGCTTCATAGTTCAACTGCATGCATCTTAGGAGAGTTTCAAAAGGGTTATCTGACAAAGAACACACAACTAGTAGATGGTAGATTTATGACTTCACAAAAGTCTTCCACTCCCATGAAGGATGCCCTGGAAAGGACCAAGGCCAATAAAGCTGATAATGTTATGGTGAGGGACCCTTGGCAGCTGGTCAGAGCGTGGCTAGAATTGCTGCAAACAGGAGGGGCGTTCCAGTAACCTCTGCCCCCCTCGCCTTTTTCCCCCATTTTGGCCTTGGGCCAGCACTGTTGCTGCCACACGAAGCTCAAGTTTGATTTGCCCTGAAGTAGACACTTCTAAGGCAACTTGATATTGCCATATTGTGCTGTTTAATTAAAAATACGAGTACACACATACTTACTCTTAACACATATCTGTGTATGTATTCAGCTTGTCCTATAGCTGATTTCAGACCCCTACTCTGAAAAAATAACATGAAAGATATCTCCTTGAGATGAGCATTTAAAAAATAAGATGTGTAGGGTAAATTTGCTCAGAGGGTAAAGGAGACTAAGCATTACACACAAAATCAAAAACTCAGTCACCCCTGACTATGGGTACCAATGCAGGGCTAGTCTGCTCTGTTTTTAAACTTGCCTTATGGCTGTCTCTGAGCAGCAAGATTCCCAGGGACACCAGCTTTTAGATTTTGAGGAGGGATGACAGCACTGACCTGCTCAAATGTGTGGCTCTTGGGAATTATATATTTCTCCCTAGTTAGCCTACTAGGAAAAATGACACAATCGAGTCAATTAATCCTGAGAAAGAGTTGGGCCATGAAGTGGTTATGGTATGTGAGAATTTGGCTGCCATAGCTATGGTAATGACATTAGAATGTGTCCACAGAATGTGCTGATGGTGTGAAGACTGCCAGGAGAGTAGATGGCAGAGAGCATAAATAGTCTAAGACATATCTGGGTCATATTTTATTAAAATGGATAAAGTATACACACACTTCCCTCCTGGGAAAACTGGTCATTCTCCTTATATGCCTAAAGACTATTTATGACCTGTATGGCTGAAATTAGGTCTCAAATCCTTTGACCATCCATTTATTCTCTTTCGTCATTTCTCTGGTAGTTATGCTTCATAAAATTGATTATTACAGCCCAAGCTTGTCCGTTTGGGCAGACATATCTAAATTGTAATTTGCTGGTTCATCCATTCAGCAATCTTACAACATTTTGAAAGACCCCCACGAGGCAGCATGGTATAAAGGAGAGAATACAGAATTTAGAATGAGAAGACATAGGATACTGAATCCTGACTGTTTGACTAGCTATAAGAGCAAACCATTTAACATCATTGTAACTCCGCTTTTTCATCCATAAAATAGAGAGTATTGTAAACAACTGTTTTGAAGTCCAATGGAAAAAAATGAAGTTCCAAAGTGTTTGTTCAATGTTTTAACACAAGACAAATTTATTTTACATTGAATATTATTTTACATAATATCTATTGTATGTTGCCCATTAAGGAAATGTTAATATATATTTCCCAAAAATTTTCTCTAAATTGTGACTAATTCAATTAAGGCTAATTTATTAATAGACACTCATATGATCACGTTCCCTGTACCTATTTTTGAGTTACTGGCATGCATAGAGGCTTCCAATCCTAGTAATAATTACTCTAAGGATTGAATAATTTCCTCTTGGCTTTGTCATGAATTGCCCACACAGCTTTAAGACAAGAACAACTTCTGAGCTTCAGTGTCTTCACCTGTAAAGTAGACGCTATGCCTACTTTTCAAGGTTGTCAAGAAGATTAAATAAAAAGTATCCTTCAAGTTATAAACTAAAATAGCAATATATGTAGTAACTTTATGAGGCAAGCATTTTTCACTAAAAATGCTCTTTATGCAAAACTTTATGAATTTACTAGGCAAATTAGTATCCTACAGTTGATTTAAAGTCAATGTGTGAAATTGACGAACAGCATGATTCTCAGTGTGAAGAGAACTTACGTCCACAGCCATTTCGTCGAAAGTGTCGCTGGGGAAAGAACAAGCCTCACCTAAGAGTGTGACAGAGAATAAAGCATTGCCTGAGGATCATGAGTGCTGTCCCAACTGTGTTCAACCACCCCATTCCCAGAAGAAAGTGGAAGCACCCTTCAAAAATAACCAAGCAGGAGGACGGCCCAGTGGCGTAGCAGTTAAGTTCGTGCACTCCGCCTCAGCGGCCCCGGCTTTGCCGTTCGGATCCTGGCCGTGGACCTACGCACTGCTCATCAAGCCGTGCTGAGGCAGCGTCCCACACAGAAGAACTAGAAGGACCTACAACTAGGATACATAACTATGTCCTGGGGGCTTTGGGGAGGAAAAAGAAAAAAAAGAGGAAGATTGGCAACAGAGGTTAGCTCAGGGCCAATCTTCCTCAAAACAAATAAATAAATAAATAACCAAGCAAATAACAGGGCAGTAATTTCTACAAGTTATCAAGGTACTTTGTATTCCAGAGGCATTTTCAGTTACATAATCCTGTCCAGCATTAGGCGGCATTCAGCTAGTTCAAGCTTTCTTTCTTTTTTTTTTGTGAGGAAGATTGGCCCTGGGCTAACATCCATGACCACCTTCCTCTACTTCATATGCGGGACGCCTGCCACAGCACGGCTTGATAAGCAGTGCCTAGGTCCGCGCCCGGGAACTGAACCCGCAAACCCCGAGCTGCCAAAGTGGAGCACGGGGCCATTTGGCTGGTGGGTGGTAGGGCGAGGTTCCATCCTTTCTGAATTACTCCCTTTATCTAAATCTGAAACCAAGAGGGTCCCATCCACCGGACAGCAATACAGGACCACTAAATGGAAGAGACGTATTATCTGGGAGCTTCCTCACTACACAGGCTGTTCTGTGAGACTCTTTCGAAATAACCCTGGCACACCAAGAGCCAGCAGTGAAAAGAACAGCAGTTATAACACTAAGAACATGCAGTAATCACAATAAGAGACAACTCCAGAGGTCACTGAACAATCAAGAACCCTCTGATCTGGATGTTTTTTTTTTTTTTTTTTGCTGGGAAAGATTCACCCTGAGCTACATCTGTTGCCAATCTTCCTCTTTTTTTTCCTTCTCAAAGCCCCAGTACATAGTTGTATATTCTAGTTGTTAAGTCCTTCTAGTTCTTCTACGTGAGCCACTGCCACAGCATGGCTACTGACAGACAGGTGGAGTGGTTCTGTGCCTGGGAACTGAACTCAGGCCACCAAAGCGGAGTGAGCTGAACTTTAACCACTAGGCCATCAGGTCTGGCTCTAAACTGGATTCTTAAGTGGCCCTTTCTGGAAAAGATCAGTACCACACTTCTTTTACTACAGACAGTCAGATAGTCCAAATATACTGCTCTGCAACAGAATCGAGAGTAGCCCCCGAGTTCTGAAGAGACGGTTGCAGAAGAATTGTTTTGGAATTTGCCTTTATCCCCACACAAAAACAGAGAGAGCAACTAAGATATTAAAATCAAGGCTCACGGGAAAATATCTAGAAAAACACTGTGTCCAACATCCCTCAATTGGTCCAATAAACAGGTCCACTAAACCTCAAAATGCAAACTGGTGGAAGACATCACTGACAACACCGAAGGCAGGTAACATCATCTGCGTTGGAAGAGGCAGAGGGAAGCAACAGGGGGACTCTCCTCAAGACAGGAAAACCCCCAAATCGCCAACAGGTGCCCATAAAAAGTGTAAGAGCCAATCTGAGAACTGCAGTTGAAATTGGAAAGCATTTTACACACTCTACTGCATGGAAGCGAAGAAGGGATCTAGAGTAAGTTCTGAAAGGGCTGGGCGCAGTCTGGGACATATGAACTCTTAGTACTAACTAAGAGAAACTCTCTCTGAGGGCAAAGCTCTGCATTGAGAGAGCATGCTGGGAGCAGAATTCAAATTGTGCAGGATAGATGCAAGGACAAAGGAAACAGAAAATGCAGATACGTGGGAGGGGAGAAAACTGCAGACAGGATGAGGTCATTTTTTTTTTTTTTAATCATTGTGCATAAGCAACAAAAGAGAAAGTTCTAGAGCTGTGAAGCTAGAAAAGCTATCCTCATTCATCTCTTCCTCTTAAAAGTCCAGGAAAACTAATTTCATGTAAAAAAGAGCAAGGGAAAAATAATGCAGTGGGAAAAAGTATGCCATTCAAACACTAAGCATAGCAAGGTTGATGTGGTTCTATTTCTTATCAGACAAAATAGACCTCAAGACAAGGAGTATTATCAGAGTGTCATTTCATAATGATAAAACATCAAATCATCAGGAAGACATAACAATCCTAAATACGTACGCATCTAATAAAAGAGTTTCCAAATAAATGAAGCAAAAAAATGCAGAACTAAAAGGAAAAACAGACCTTAATCATACTTGGATATTTTAACACCCCTCTCTCAATAACTGACAGACCCA